CCTCTTTCCTTCCTTATTATAACAACTGGCTGAGAGCTCCTTGGGAAGGCCTGGTAAGCCAAGTCCTATGAGTCTGGAACTTGATGGTACACTTGCATTCCACCCCTGCCCATCATTTCCCCAGGCATCTGAAACCAGTAGTTGCTTCATGAAGTATAAAATGGGAGAATTTGGTCCATTTCCTAAAACTTTATTGTTGGTACCTATATGGGGGCGGGGAGGGGGTTCTCCTTATTTTTGAGCAGGAGAAAATGCAAGGTACATGGTAGAAAGAACACAGTCTTTGGAGTCAGACCTTGGTTTCAGTAAGTTCTGTTTTCTAGCTGTGTGGTATTAGACAAGTTATTTCTCTGAGGCTCAGTTTCCTCCTTTAAGATAGGGATAATTTTACTAACCTCAAAAGGTTATTGGAAATAAATGAAAATAATTATGGTTTTGGGCATAGGACATGATACATACATAATAGGTAATGGCAAATGTGCATTTTTTTCTCCTGGGTCTTTTTATTGCTTCTGATTTGTCCTTTTGTGGTACTTAAGTGGAATAATAATAACTATCCTTGAGTCACTTTTGCCAGGCTCTGAGCTGTGGGCTTTCCCAAGCTCTCACTTATTTCTCCTAATACCACATTTATGAAGCAGGAACTATTTTTAACAAATATAGGAAACTGAGGCACAGAAGGTCAGTACCTTGCCTAAGGTCACAAAGCTAGTAAGAGACAGAGCTAGGATTCAAACCCAGGTGTCTGATTCTAGAGCCTGAGCTCTTCACCACTGATCATTATTGATCATTACTACTTTTACTTTTCCTGAGTAATATGTTACTTCTAGTGGTTCTTATTTTCTCTCTACTTGGACTTACGGGGATTTGCGTGCATGTGGTCCATGAGCTTTTCTTAGTCTTTTTTTTTTAATATATATATTTTTAATGTTTATTCATTTTTTTTTTTTAATTTTTTTTTTTTCAACGTTTATTTATTTTTGGGACAGAGAGAGACAGAGCATGAACGGGGGAGGGGCAGAGAGAGAGGGAGACACAGAATCTGAAACAGGCTCCAGGCTCTGAGCCATCAGCCCAGAGCCCGACGCGGGGCTCGAACTCACGGACCGCAAGATCGTGACCTGGCTGAAGTCAGACGCTTAACCGACTGCGCCACCCAGGCGCCCCTGTTTATTCATTTTTGAGAGATAGTGCAAGTGGGGGAGGGGCAGAGAGAGAGAGGGAGACACAGAATCTGAAGCAGGCTCCAGGCTCTGAGTTGTCAACACGGAGCCTGACATGGGGCTCGAACTCTTGAACTGTGAGATCATGACCTGAGCTGAAGTCAGATGCCTAACCAACTGAGCCACCCACGTGCCCCAGGTTTTCTTAGCCTTGGTTGGTGCCTCATTTGAGAGACAATGACCCTGTTTGCTCCAGTTCTTCCTAATTTTTCCACTCAGAGCAGATCCCTTCAACTGAAGGGTGGTACAGCCCTCTTTCTTTCTTAAGAGACCATCCCCTCATTCCTTCTTTACCATTCACATAAAACCAAGTAAATTTACAGTTAAAGTGTTCTTGCCAATCTTTCTGATCCCTCTGAAGATCCTTCAGAAGAGCAGATTCTGTCTCCCTCTTACAGACATGGAAACTAAGGTCCAGGAAGGTGAAATGACTTGTCCAAGGTCACACAGTGAATTAGAGGTAGAGCTGGAACTAGCTGTTATGTTTTCTGCCTTTCTTTACTAAAAATATAGTAAGGAGAGGTGGTGTGTATAATTTGCAGATCAGACCTAAAGAAGGTTAAGCTTTATTAGGACCCAGATCAAATGAGTTCTGAAGGGACCCTGCCTCCATCATCCACATCTTTACCTTAGTTCTTTCATACATATTTGAGGAACGCAGCAGAAAGGGAGAATCACTTTCCCCTTAGGGTTCAACAAAGCTTTCATGACAGTTTGCTGTGGGGAAGCATTCAGAGGCTGCAGTGTCTCCTCATCCATAAGGAAGGTTGGATTCCCAGGGCTTACTAGCCTGGAATGACCCTTGTGAAGGAGCAGAGGAATGTCAGAACCTGTATGTCTTCTGACTTCTGCAGGTTTTAGCTTAAGCCAGGTGAGGGTTGGGCTGGAGCAGGATAGTGGTAAGAACTGAGGATAGGAGCCCTGAGGAATTTCATTTTACCCCCCCTGCTGGTAGATTTTGTCAGGGGGTTTGGACAAGCAATTTGAAATTTATAAAGAGGAATTCCTACTACTCCTCTTAAAAAAAAAAATCCTTGGTTTTGGCACCAGAAAAGAAACCTTTCCCAAAGTCTAGGCATTGGACATTTCAGTTGTGGCTGAGACATTACCTTCTTTTTTATCTTCTTCCTTCTCTCCTTTCACCCCTTTCTTCTCCCTCCTTTTTCTCCTATCCAGTCAGCTTCCCATTTCTTTCCTCACCTCTCCTTTAACTCCTGAAAACAAGAATGGGGAAAGGGTACCTTCAGACAACAGATTAGTAGATAGGTGGTAATATAGATACTGGGGCTACAAGTCATAACTTGGAGCTTGACATTTTGGACATTACTTCTGGACCTCAGAACAATGGTTGATGGAACAGGTGCTTACTCATTCATTTATTTGCTTATGTACAGTGTCGTCTAAGTATAACCTGCCAGGCTCTGTTTCAGATACTTGGGCTATTCCAGTTAATAAGACCCTAAACCTGCCAATAAAATTATAGTCTTATGGGTAAGACATAGCAACAGTAAACCTCCTCCCCTACTCCCTGATTCAAATCATTGAATTTTAAGGTGGGAAGAGCTTTAGAGTTTATTTGGTATTCCAGACCATGAAGTAAGTAAACATACAGGCTTTGGAATAAAGTAAAGCAGACCTGGGTTCAAATTCTAGCTCTGCTACTTACTAGCTGTTTGACCTTGAATGGCACACTTAGCCTTGCCCATGTTCAGTTACCTTAGGTATAAAATGGACCTGCCATCACCTCTTCACATTATGAGGGTTAACTGCACAACACCTAGCTCAGTGTCTGGTGCATAGTAGTAGCATGTGTTTTTCTGTCGTTCTGCATGAATGCCTGGCTTAAGTCCTTGCTCCTTTGAAACTTCTTTTTTTTTTTTTTATTTTTTATTTTTTATTTTTCAACGTTTTATTTATTTTTGGGACAGAGAGAGACAGAGCATGAACGGGGGAGGGGCAGAGAGAGAGGGAGACACAGAATCGGAAACAGGCTCCAGGCTCTGAGCCATCAGCCCAGAGCCTGACGCGGGGCTCGAACTCACGGAGCGCGAGATCGTGACCTGGCTGAAGTCGGACGCTTAACCGACTGCGCCACCCAGGCGCCCCGCTCCTTTGAAACTTCTGAGGCCATCTCCTGTCAGCCTAGTTTCTTTCTCCATTTTTATAACACATGGAGCACTCTTTGAACTGTTGGATCCTACCTAATAGTATTAGTCGTCCTTTACAGGAAGTTCACAGAGTCCCACCCTGGAATGCAAGGAGGATAAGAACTGTTCTCATCCATCCCTGTGTCTTCTATAACCCTAACTTAGAGCTGTGACCATGACCAACCAGGCCCAGGAAGTAGTTTTTTGATTGATTGGCTAAGAAGGCTTCTATAAATAAACTTCTGAGTGTTTCGCAGTGAAAAAAAGAGCTATTGAAGAGGCCCAAAGTCTCCCATCCTAACTCTTCTCCCACTCCCCTTCTGTTACCACATTGATTCTCACAAAATCCCTGTCCTGTAATCAGGATGGGGATTGTATCTCCATTTTGTAGAAATCTGAGGCTCAGATTAGAACCCAGGTCCTTTGTTAGGTGATAGATCCAGAGTAAGGTAAGAGTAGCAGGAATGAGAACAGAAATCTTAACTGACTAGGTCTTCGTTCTCTGGAAACAGCAGGAATCTTTACAAGGAAGAAGGAACAGAAGAGTTGGTTTTGAGGCCTTACCTGATGATGAGGCCAGAGTCAGGTCTAGTCACAGTTAGAGATGATTTGATAATATGACATAGTGGTGAGAAAGGGTTCAGAATAACTTCATAGATTTGCTAGGCCTTGAAGATTAAGAAGGATATGAATATGTACAAAATTCCAAGTGAGATAACAGCATGGACAAAAGGATGAGAGCTGGAAAGCCCATAATAGAGGTAAGACAGATGATGACTAGATGAAGGCATACCTAGAGAGCAAAGCTTAGGTGATTGGTAGCTATGATATTTTTTCCTCTTTTTTTCTTAACTTTTTTTGAGCAGGAAAGTGGCCTTGGGAGCATTAGTCTGGCAGTGTAGGCCCAGTAGTTAGAGCACGGAGGGGTAGGAGATTAGTGAAAGAGAGACTGGGGAAGACACTACTGTAACAGTCCTTGTAATGTCAATAATTTAAAAAAAAATTTTTTTTTCAACGTTTTTTATTTATTTTTGGGACAGAGAGAGACAGAGCATGAACAGGGGAGAGGCAGAGAGAGAGGGAGACACAGAATCGGAAACAGGCTCCAGGCTCTGAGCCATCAGCCCAGAGCCCGACACGGGGCTCGAACCCACGGACTGGGAGATCGTGACCTGGCTGAAGTCGGACGCTTAACCGACTGCGCCACCCAGGCGCCCCGTAATGTCAATAATTTTTAAGAAATATTCCAGCATTGCAGGCAAGAGATAGATCCTGAACCAAGAGGAGGTTGACACAGTAGGGAATAAAGAAGAACAGTTTAGATGTAGAGCTCTTAGCATGACAACAAAAAAACCATGAGGATTTGGCAATTGAGGGAATGGGGCGTAAGGAAAGGAGAGGTTGGAGAGCATTAACATTTGGAGTCTCAGTACTTGGGAGAATGGTTATATCGTTTGCTGAACTGCAGAGGCTGGGAACAAGGAGATGAGTTCAGTTTATCAACATGTTGAATTTGAGGTGCTAATAGTTTATTCCCCTTACTGCCCACCTCCTAGTGCCTCTGCCTTTGTCCTTTGATCTGGGCCTACAGAGATCCTTCAATTCCATGTATTTCCTGCTTTGTTTCCAGGCCTGGAACCCCCGAGGGATCCCTCCACTCATGTCTTGGAGCAACTGTTTCTCCCTGTCTGAAATAAGATGGTGCATGTAAGATGCTTAGCCTGGTAGCTACTCTTTCAAAGTGTGCATTAAATGTTAGTGGCTATTAAATGGCTGTTGTTGTGGTTGTCATCATAGCTTTGTGATCACAGTAGCTAGAGATTTAGAGAAACGTCTGGAACCACCTGGCTAAAGGACAGTCATTTAGCTGGTATTCAGTAAGAAGTCTGGACTGCAAGTAAATGGAGAGGATTTCAGGCTGGGTGTAAATGAGGGCTCTGAGCCATATCAGCTAGGACTAGGGTATGAGTATGTTTCCTTTCTTTTTCTTCTGTTTTTGAGAAGTTGGTATAATGTGGTTAAGAGGGCAGGGCAAGCCCCAGAGGTTGGACTTCCTGAGTTCAGGTCTCAACTCTACCTTCCTCCTCCTCCTCCTC